AAAAAAAAAAAATTGCATGTACTGTAGAATACTTTATTTTCGCATTCAACTCATCAAAAATCAGTGCAAATAAATTCCATACAAAACACCCAAAAAGCTTTTTCAGCGAAAATTAATTCCAGCTAAAATAAAGTATTTCACAGTATATGAAGATGCACTGCTCCAGGAGAATCACATGTTGTTTTGAGCGTTGATAATGTGTTCATAGTTCATTTCTGTTTCCCATTGATACAGATAGTAACTGTAGATGTAAATATTAAAAATATGTTCATCCCACTGGACTGTGTTACACTCATCACCTATGGTGGTCTGCTCGTATTTCTTCAACCTATGTAATAACCATAGTGAAACTAATGTAGTCTTGCCAGTGATTACGTTCTTGTACTTGTGTTAGATCAAGCAGTCGCGGGTGTACAAAACGCTAAATTGTTTAAAAAGTACTATTTTTGCAATAATGGTAGATGGTGATGGTAAATTTAATTATTCTGATTTTTAAAATTACTGGTGTCCTGCAAATCTTTAAATCGAATACAAAATACAAGAAATAAAAAATGGGTCTGTATTGATGATGGTTAACTAGCGAGTGGAATTGCTGTTTTCCCCTCAATACATTTCTCACTTTTATAGCCTTGTGACAGATTCACTCATAAAATTTGCAAGATGATTACTACGTTTTTATTGAACTTCCACTCAAAGGTCAATAATGTGCATTGGTCGATGTCTCAGGTAAACACACTGGGATACATGGGCTATTCATGTACGACTCGACCAACAAAGTTTCTACACATTTTAACAGAAGCTTATTACCCATCCAATACTAAGCCACATCTTGGCCTCCCTGCAGATAAAGACTATAGCTTAAAATTGTATTTATAGTCTAGTATCCAGGTCAGATGATGATGACATGTCAATGTGGTGTTAGTAAAGAATGAATGTCATCTAAATACCACTGAACTAGGTACATACTGTACATTTTCCGCTGAAGGAATGATTCAGTGAAAATAAAATTCAGCGAATATACCTTTTTTCCTATATTTTACATTCAACTCATCAAAAATCAGCGAAAATATATTCCACACAAAAGACCCAAAAAGTCGCTTCAGCAAAAATTAATTCCAGTATTTTACAGTAGGCGATCTTGAATAGTTTTTAGTTGAAATCTGTGACTATTAAATATCTAATTTCCATAATTATATCTACAGAAGGCCTAAGGGTGTAAATCTGCTTTACATAAATTAGCACATATCGAAAACCTCTCATCAGATTTCACTGAAACTTGATACATAGATGTTTGGCTTAGTCCACAAACCTAATTAGCTTTGGATAAACTCAGTACCAGTACATAGGTGATCGGAGGTAATAATACATATACGATGAAATCAAATATTAATTATCTAATTTACATTTATAGAATTCAATAATCCAGGGATATCTCAAGAATCTGTGGATCAGATTGCTTTCAAAGCCTGAATCTATATTAGACAACAGGCTTCTTGTTTGATAGGATAGTATTAAATTTGTTACTAATTTTAAATATTTCTTGTATCCATGCCTCCAAAACCCCTTGATTTCTCAGTTTGTGGAGTGTTTTATTTGTCATACAGAGAGAAACAAGTTATTATATAAAATCTGGTAATGTTAATAAGGGGCATGCTTTTCGAAAGCAATGGAAATGGTATAATATATGACCCAAAATACAAATAAAATAGAAACAATGCTATGGGGGAAATCCCAAAATCATTAAGTCGTACTGTGGTGGTGGCGTCATCGTTTGTGTACTCCAAATTATTTCTTATTTTTAAATTGTCTAGTCATATGGAAAAACTTTGCAACATTTCAGGAAATGTTTGAGCAATCGGTAAAGTTGTATTATCGGCATAAATGCTGATCATTGCACCATTTATCCAGTTATTGTCTTACTTGATATTTGACTCTGATGCAGTAACAACATGGAATCTAATGGCTACAAAGAAAACAACTTGAAAGTACAGCATGCATTTCAGACTAATTTTACTGGAAAATGCTTTACTTTCAATATTGATTTTTATCATCAAATTGGGAGTTCCTCAGTGTGATTTGATTACTTGAAATAGAAAATAGTTTTAGAATATTCTGAGTTAAGAATGTAGAGAGCCGATTTCTGTTTCAACTTGACCAACTCCTGACTTTTCAAAACTGATTGGCAGACGCCTTGTGGCTGTATTTAATACTAACATAGCATATCACATATCTTGGAGAGGCGATGATTTACAGTGATACAGAGGGTTCTGTGGGTGTGTTTATACACAGGGCCAGGTTTTATACTAGCTTACATCTAGCATACTCACATATGCTATTGATTACAATGAAAGTGGTTGCATATCAAGTTTTTAATATGGGTCATGTTGTTTCTGTATCATCTAGTGTTGCAACAGAATGAGTCTCAGAATCAGGTCCTACAAAGGTGATTGTCACTTCAAAAGTTGTTGCATATATAGAATGCATAATAAATAAAATGTTTTTTTTTAATGCTTTCAAATAGCAGGAGAATTTTTTCAAATGCTTGAATTTTTACTGAGATTATGATATTTTTCTTTTTCCAGTGTAAAACATATATCAGACAGAGTACACACATGTGCACATAGCAAAAAGGTAAGTATTTGTCTATTACAATTTTCACAGCGATTGTTTATGATCATTTTTTTTGTGTGGCAGGATAACCTTTCATTCACTAGGATTTTGTGATGATTTGGGGATAAATCGTAGATAATCTGAAAATGCTTTTTTGCCATAAATACTAGCTTCTTTCTAATTTTTTCATTGCACTTGAAACAATAATTCTGGTTGGCTGGTGCTTCAAAGAACAACCCTGAATTGATGACCCACAAACTTTTACACACCGTTAGCATAAATAGTGCAATTTCCTGACAACTCTCTTAAAAATTGTAGACTCAATATTATTGAATTTATATGGGGGAAAAACATGATTGCTAATTTTGTTGATTGCGCATGGCTCTTAAATGATTGTAGAATGCATTGACAATGTCAAAGAGAAAGTGTTGAAATAGACACATGGTGGAGTATTTACATTCCATTGTACATATGGTCTGTCTCAGTCAATGCAGCTATGCAGTTGAACTGCAGACCAGTATCCACTTGAGTAAAATCAGTTAAGACCTGGGATTAGAATTGTCATCACATATATAAAAGGTGTTTCATATTATCATTATCAGAGGTCACACACATAAAACAATGCAAGTGAAAGTCACTGTAGTCTTGTGGTTTGTTGGATCTCTATGTGTGATGTATGTGTTGTTCTGCTTATAGTATTTATGTGTGCTCTGGTGCCTGTAAGGTTAATGCCATGTGACCTTCCGTCTCTGGGTGACATACAGCAGCACAGCTTCTGTCAACTGCAATTGGAATACAAATGTCATCTCTTCATCTTGTGGGAGATTCCATTAGGTATGAGGGGTGACCTTCTGTCACTGGGTGATATATGGCAGCACAGCTCACATGGATTGGAATACAAATGTCATCTCTCTAATTGAGTGGGAGATTTCATGTGTTGTGAGGAGTAGCTTTCTGTCACTGGTTAATACATGGCAGCACAATAACTGGCATACAAATGTCAACTTTCGAAATGATCCCATTGGTTGTTAGGTGTGGATATCTGCCATAGTGCAGGGTGGAAGGTGCCAAAATTAGCATTCACTGCAAATACAAGAAAATATATTGTGTCATCAATATAATGGTAGGACAGGAAGATGTAATATGCAATGTTTTATTTTGTTCGACTGATGTTGTGTTAAAATTGCCTACAACCATAACTGCTAACTATACATGCAGTGCATTTTACCACCCAAAATATATCTGACGTCCAGTACTCCATCAGTCAATCAAATATCAATTTAATTAGCAAAACTACACCTTAACCTTATTCACCCAAAGAATGAATCTGCCAGTGATGTTGGCCTCTTCTTTCAGTCTGTAGCTTCCATGCATCTAAGTTAGGGGGTCGATATCATATGTAAGATTTGAACTCCAGAGCTAGCTCTCACTTCAGTACTTCATCTGTTTGATTGCAGCAGTGTGGCGTTATTATGCATGTAGACAACTCATCTCCATCAAGTCACAATAAATCTGATAGTATTCTTCTAGTAATTAAAAAAGAGGAAACAGAACATGCAGATGAAAAAGTGAGTTATAATAAACACATGAGATTGCACTATTGTCTGACTTGGCACAATCTTGTACATTATACTAGCCAATCAATTTCAGTGTTCAGCCCCAGATGGCATGTCATATCTATGATATGCAAAGTAGATCCAGTCATATTAATTGTGAGATGAACACAAAAACATACATTCCTAGAAAGATCTTATTTATGTTTGTCTAGAACTATTTTTCTAGTGTTCGCAAAATGACTATTAAATTACATGTTTTTTAGATTTCCAGGACTATCTTATTTTTGTTTCCGCTATTCCCAAGTGCCCACTGCATTGTGTTATAAGTTTTCTTGATGCTCACATTGAAATCCCAATCTTACTGGTAATATCTTCAGATCGTACAATCTGATTGGACCGCGGTCTCTTGAAGTACAAACTGCATCTGACGAAATGACCATGAAACTTGTCAACCAATCAGAATGTGTCTTAAAGTGCCTGTGCAATGCCCACCCTCACGTTTCCCGTTTTAGATCTGTGTCCCACTGAAAAGGGTAGTTATTGATTTTTTTGCTGCAAATGATTACTCGTATCCAAGTAAATTTGGGATATTTCTCGTGTTGTAGCCACGCCCACCTATCCTGAAACGGTCGACTGTTTCCGGATTTCCGACTCTCGCCAAAAGTGCGCCACCAAATGACAAAATGTGAGATGAAGTCATACCCCTGAGCCGTAATAACACTGGTCGTTCAGTATACTTTTAAACGATATACATTTTTCGGTCGGCGTCTTTTCTTTTTTTTTGTCTATTGTATTTTCTTTTTGAGAGAGAGTTTTTAGATGTTGTGTTGTGGACAGTTGCAGTGAAACGTATAGCCATAGTGTATGTATTCACACGTTTCTAATCGATTCGAAGGTGCAACATCACTTAACCTTAAACCTGGCGCAACACTTTTGAAAGAAATAGATTCCGGACCAGCCCACCACCGAGGCGGATTTCAGAAGAGAGAGAGAGACGTCCGGCAAGTGTTTCAAATCAGTTGACCTTTTTTGCGATTCTGATTATCGTTTTATAGAGACCATTTAGTCCCTGTTAAGTAAAAGGTAGCAATAATTTTGACAGTGACACAAAAACGAAGCGTCGGACAAACAGGAAATTACACAGCCCTTACACACTGCTAACTGTTTTCATTTTCGAAGGCTAAAAGTTTCTGAATTGTTCGGTAATTGGTGTTGAATGTCAAATTCACACCTCTGTTCTTTTGTACCTCCATGCTTGCAGCTTGATCTGCGTAATAATTTATGAAATAAGAATCCGGGCTTGGTCAATGTGTTTCCACCAAATAAAGTTTTAATACGATGTTATAATTATGACAATCACGCCATGGATCACGCTAACTCGAATCCACTCTGAATTTATCTGTATGTGTGTCAATCTTGATTATTTTTGTTATCCAATTAAACGCCGCTTTTAACGCACTTGCCCTCGCCGTGACCCGACGCGTTCACCTGTCATTTATTTAGTAACTGTGATTTGTCGTTTTTTTAATTATTTTATAGTGATCACTATTAATAGTCTAATGTTTAGAATGTCAAAATATGTTCTCTTTTATTTTAATTTTGAAAGTTTTACTCAGACGATCGATGAAATAAAACAGTGTAGTGACGTGCCTAGTAACCTGCTAAATAACGAGATAATTCCAACGTCAAATTCTATTTTGTCCGGCAACAGTGTACAAACGTGCGCCGGTGTCGATCACGGTGACCAGCTACACCAAAATGGACATATTTCGCATCTAACTCAACCCCATGCAACAAAAATTGATACTATGTGTTCATTATGGTCCATTCTTCCTCGACGAACAAGTACATAAGCGACAATATAGTCAAAGACGAGAAAACTGCACAAGAAATTTGCCTTATTTACACGTATCGGCAATGCAAGATGCCATGCGACTTCCCCTTCTGACGTCACAAAGGGAATTTCTGTATGCAAATGAGAAGCTAATGAGGAGCCTCGTTTTAAAATACACAAAAATAAAGTTGCCATAGACTGAGTTTAAAACACATTTTTTCACTTAAAAAAAATAATTCATGTTTAGAAACATAAAAACTAATAATATTTATGTATCAATTGATAATTTTAGGCGCGAAAATAGCAGCCATTTCACAGGCACTTTAATTACTGGAAAATGGCCTGTAACACAAGTTGCAATACTCACATCTAATCATTTGATCAGATATAGTTAAAGTGGGGGAGTCATCACCTATGCATGCGTCAGATGGCCATAGCGTGTCAGTTTACAAACAAGCATCTACCCATGAGCCTTTGCATTTTTAGCGTGTGTTATCGTTGCTCGGAACTCAATTCCTGCACGTGTGCAGATAACAACCCTTTCGCTTTAAGTCCACCAGCGACCGAAGCACTTACCTACATCTGATTTTACTCAGATAACTTATGATAGAAAGTGTCCTGAAAGTACTTATACAGTACTCATTTGATGTGTTATACTTGTAATATGTCAACAACTCATTACGTTGTTTTCACAGATTGATGATTCATTAGATCAACAAGCAAAAATTAGTCATCTTATCATTAAATCAGAACCACTAGATTTATCTGTCAATGGTGTGCGGTCTACGTCACCTAAACCTTCCTCTACTATAGTTGGCAATAAAATAAAAAGTAAGTTTGTTTTCATTGTATATTGACTGGCCATGAAGGCAATAGCATGTCACCTAAATCTTTCTCAGCCATAGTGGTTGTCAACAAAATAAAAAAGTAAGTTTGTTTCTTTTCTTTTTTAGCTCCGCTGTCGAATTTGTCGAGCGGAGCTTATCATGTGAGTGATTGTCCGTCGTCGTCCGTGTCAATGTTTTACTTTTTCGACTTCTTCTTGAAAACTACAAGACTGAATGCTTTGATACTTGGTGTATATGTACCTTGGGTAGACTTCTCTCAGATTTGTTCATTCCATGCTCATATCTTCAATGCTCTAATTTTGGTGAATATTTTTGTAATTTTTGGTAAAAAGTGATATTTTCGACTTCTTGTTAAAAACCAAAAGTTCAATTGCTTTGATATTACATATATAGATACTACATGTAGACCTTTCTCAGATTTGTTCATTTCGTGATGATATCTTCAATTCTCTAATTTTGGTGAATATTTTTGTCATTTTTGGTAAAAAGTGATATTTTCGACTTCTTGTTAAAAACTGTAAGTCCGATTACTTTGATACTATACATATTGTTCATTTTCTAATGATGTCTTCAGTTCTTTAATTGAAATGTGCATTGCTAACAGCGGAGCTATCTCAGCCGACAGGCTGCTTGTTTTTATTGACCTGCCCTGTGGGCAATAGTACCTAAACTTAAACTTTCCTTTACAATGGGCAATTAAGGCTGATCATGTTGTATATTAACTGAGAACAAATGTTTCAATAAACCAATCAATGTAGCCAGAGGGCGCTCTTCACTGAATGAAAATGTCAATTAAACATTGAGGGCGCTCTACGGACTCTATACTGTAAAATACTTAATTTTAGCTGGAATAAATTTTCCCTGAATAGAATTTTTTGGTGTTTTGTATGGAATTTATTCCTTTATCAAAAATGGCGAAAATCTATTGCACTATTGTTTTTTTTGATTTATTCATTATTGCCCAGCAAAAAAAGTATTACATGATGTTTTCTTCTGTTTATTTTTTTTTCAGCTGAAAAATGTGATAGTGAAGCGATAGGTGCAACACAGGTCATTGTGTCTGCTAGGCATTATCCAAGCATAAGTCATTGTAGTACAACACCGCCACATCGTCATGGTGATGATGATCGTCCCACAGTAACTTTAGAATCAGTCAATGAAAGTGGCGCGAGGGCGCTATTATCTTTACAGCAAGCAGCAGAGTAAGTGTTATCAAATTTGAACGCAACCCTATCTCCAAAACTTGGTACACTAGTCTGGATAACTGCACATTTGTCCAGGAAATTCAATTCTGACTTTTCATACCATTTAAATAATTAATTTTTCTTGAAATATTGATTCTTTGTTTTTGGTTTGTTTTTTCCTCCTAATTATTCAGAAGTCAATCATTGATAACCTTTGACAAGTTACACATTGAGGTCACGCATACTGCCAATCCATTCATGTTTAGATAATGGATCACAAAACGTATAATAAATTATATTATATATATATTGATGAGATTTTTGAACAATTATGCAGGTGGTTTTATTTTGACAATCTAACAATTATGGATATACATTGTACTTCCCTATACTTGTGTTCAATACGTAAAATGTAAAAACTTCATATAACAGAAAGTTTTGTTATCCAGACACGAATAGCCTTGGTATTTAATTCCCATTCCTCTGTCACTCACTCTAATGTCTGAAAATGTAGTAAATATTTCTCCGTGATCAGCGGGATGCTGTCACAGCGTTGAATGGTTGATAAATTTATCTTGCTGTTAATCAGAATATGCTAATTTTAGACAGTTGTACATTGTTATTATTAGCTATATCGACTAAGAATTGCCACAGCAATGAAAGTAAAATTCTTTATGATGTCACTGTACATATTTAATGAGCAAAATATTAGCAGTCAGTCCTTCTGTAAAATCAGAGGTACCCAGGCTGAACAAGAAATGACTTGGACACAGAGTAGCAATATAAATCGGAAACTGACAATAAAATAGACAACTGCAACTTCTAATTATTTTCCTTGTCTTCTTTTTTCAGTGCTGATCTTCCATCTCAAGTGCAGCCAATAAAACATTTACTAGACAGAACAATCAAATTATCTCCAACGTCGTCATCTTCCTCCTCACCACCTTCCCATCATGCAGTGAATCTCGAATTGAGGCCAACCGAGTCAGCAAAAAGGAAAAGGCTTCATGTGTGTGACTTTGAGGGTTGTACAAAGGTTTATACAAAGAGTTCACATTTGAAGGCACATCGAAGAACGCATACGGGTGAGTGTAGACAAATTCTGCAGATATAGTACTGCAGCTTTTTTTCCCCCCCGCTTATAATGTAGCACTTTCTTTTGTTAATTTAGTTAACTTTTATTTACTACTTCAAGATGTAGCCAATTCAGCAGTTTGTTGTTTACGTGTCAACATGATTCTCCCACTAGAGTTTACTTCGCACAAGGATCACCTCAGTGTTATACTGCCCTCTATTGTTTATCTGGTATGGTGAAATTATGTCTACTGCCCTCTATGACTCTTTATAACCATGTACTGAAATGGACAATGCATAGATAACTGCATTCACTGAAAACCAGTTATTTTATCTTTCTGTAGTTTAGTTTAGTTTTGATGTTATATATTGTTTTTATGTGAAAAAGATTTAATTTCATTTTATACCGTATATATGAAAGCGCATACAAGTTAAATTTATGTTTCTGCAAACATCATGAATAGTATGATGTACAAGATTGTGCCAAGTCAGACAATAGTGCAATCTCATGTGTTTATTATAACTCACTTTTTCATCTGCATGTTCTGTTTCCTACAATTACCATGGTTACTTCTGAACAATAATACCCCTCAAAAATTACAAATAACAGAACGAGGTGTACGTGACAATAAAACAGGTACTAAATTACACAACGAGATGTGCACTAAGAATTAAATTTGGCATTTAAAGTTGAAGAGAAAACTTAAGATTTGAGAGTCTATTGTTAAATTTAATATTCGTGGCTATGAATAGAATTATGTGGCAAGTTATTTTTTAGATGTTTACAAATATGTGCAGAAATAACATTTTATTGGTTGTTGCTGTGCTAATACCTCCGTGGTAGCTTTTCTGATGTGGAAGTCTTGTATAATAGCTTCTTTGTTGCCTTATCTAATGAGAAAGAGACTGTGATGCCTGTTTTGTCGCATCACATATGGTTTACATTGAACAAGTTGAGACTTGCTAACAGGAAGTCGTATACTTTGAATCACATCTGTGTAGTATGTGGGTTTACTATCCCTGTATCAACCATGACTTGAGATATGTATAACTAAAGGATTGAAAATGAACCTGCTGCATGTGTATGTCTATTCGCAGATTACTCAGAAACTTTCTCGTGTGATATAAAGTGCAGGTCAACCCATGCTGTCTTAGCTGAATATAATCTGCTCATACATCGCATGTAGTGTCAAGCTCTTAAATGTTACTTACACATTTTCTGGGTCTATAGTTTAGTACACTATTCATAAAAAAAACTTTTCACATATTTTTTCATTAATTTTGGTCAATGAGAAATAATGTCCATTTCCTCAAGAAATTTAAGTTTAAAACATCTTTTGAACGACTTATAACTAGTCGTACACGTACAGGAAGTTCCAAGAGAATGTTTAGAGCATATTATACAATTGCTTGAATAGGCTGGCTTCATTAAAAATGGAGAATAAAGCATGAAAGTTTAGTATTTTTATGGATTCTAACCAATATACTGGCCAAAACTGTGGAAAGCCCCCCCCCCCCCCCCTATAGATTGGCATTACTGTCCCTGACACCTACATTGTAAACTACATGTATGTGTCTTTCGTACTTTACCACAAAAGGTCGGTGAAGTGATTGATCTCTTAGTGGTAAGAGTTTCTTTTGTGTGCACTCCAGACATAATAAAACTTTTATCTTTCTGATGTCTGGTCATTGACCCATACACTTGTCTATTTCAGGCACACTCTTATGCAATTAAAGAGATGTCAGGTGACTTCTGTAGGAAGTTTGTACAATTCGGGTGAAATGGTTTCTGGAGAGTGTTGTTGCATTCATTCAACGCTGTCAAATTGCCAATCATGTTGTGTGTACGCTACGGATGATTTGTTGTTTCTAGTCAGTCAGTTTGGAAATGTTTTTTTCACTAGGTATGGTTAAATGGATCAACCAGTAAACTTATTTTTGGATTGTCATGTGACAGTACGAAAAAGGCATACATCACCATATTACCTACGATTTGAGCAGCCTCTCGGCTGAGATAGCTCCGCTGTTAGCAATGCACATTTTGATTAAAGAACAAAAGATATCATTAGAAAATGAACAATATGCATATTATCAATGCAATGGGACTTGCTGTTTTCAACAAGATGAAAATATCACTTTTTACCAAAAATATTCACCAAAATTAGAAAATTAAAGATATCATTATGAAATGAACAAATTTGAGAGTAGTCCACATGTAGTACCTATATATGTAATATCAAAGCAATTGGACTTGTGGTTTTTAACAAGAAGTCGAAAGTACCAAAAATGACAAAAATATTCACCAAATCTGAGAGAGGTCCACATGTAGTACCTACATGTATATATGTAATATCAAAGCAATTGGACTTGCAGTTTCTAACAAGAAGTTGAAAATATCACTTTTTACCAAAAATGACAAAAATATTCACCAAAATTAGAGAATTGAAGATATGATCATGAAATGAACAAATCTGAGAGAGGTCTACCCAAGGTACATATACACCAAGTATCAAAGCATTCAGACTTGTAGTTTTCAAGAAGTCAAAAATGTAAAACATTGACAAAGTCGACAGCGGAGCTAAAAAAACAATACATTGGGGTCTTAGGGGGGAAAGGGCAAAATGACAAAATTCGTGAAGCACACAATCAAGATATATACAGTCTATATCACAAAACCAAATCACCAAATTCCAACAAAACTTGGTACTCAAATGCTCTGAGTCAATGCACCTGATTAGTTTTAGGACCAAATATATGGATATTAATTACCTAATTTGCATAAATCTGATAAATAAGTCATCAGATTTCAATGATAATTCATACATTAATGCTTTGTGATAATCCACAGGCACGATTACTTTAATAATAGTTTTGTTATTAATATAGCTGTACAATATGATACACAGCATTGAATTAATCGCTTTCTTGTTTACTCTTTATTAATTTCAACGAGCACATTATGCAGTTACGCCATTTGTAAGCGTTCCAAGGGTATTCAATCAACCAATAGAAACCTGTTGTTTCAGTTTTAATTGTGGAATTTTTAAAGATGAGAATGCTTTTGTTGCACCGACAGTAAAATGCTAATTTTAAAATAACTATGTCCAATACCAAGTGTATTGTGCTCATGCGCGTTTGAATCTTTCTTTGATGTTTCAGTTATCATTACACAGATTTAATGAGAATATATAAATAAAAATGGCGTCATGGTTATAAGGACTTTTTCAAACTTCCTTAATACTTGAAGTGTGCATTTTTTGGAGGCTAAACAAAATTAAGAAAAATTTGTTCACACTCATATATGGGAGACGAACATCCCCTTCCATTTTCAAATTCTTATTAGATATTTGGTTGCCATGCCAATATCCAAGGATGTGGTTTTTTTTTTTTTTTTAAGATTGATGATATTTTCTTTGTTCAATTTCCTCTTGCACTATTTGCAAAGAGGATATGTTTTATAAAGCCAGCACTGTGGTAGATTGTAAGCCGATTGGGTTTTATTGGATTAAGTCTGACCTCTACCGGAGGCAGGAAATCATTTTAACAATAGATATACATCACCTCTGAGAATTTATTTTGTAATTAAACCTGTACTTTGTGAGTTGAGCTGGTCAAAAGAAAATTAACGTAATTATACTATCATTTATGCTGCTGACCAATCTCGTACTTCATGGGCAACTATGATACCTTTCACATGCAGTTGTTTGCATCAAGAACAGAGTTCACAGTCAGATGTTACTTGTCATAGTTTAGGATATACCGTAAAATCTGTATTACAAGCCGCATCCCTAAATCGCACCCATTCTTTTTGAATGATTGAGAACCAAAAATTCATCATTTCTCATATGTGTAGATGCCGTAATAGAAGCCACATCTCCTCTGTTGCATTGTACCATTTTAATAGTAGCCGCGGCTTCTAGTACAGATTTTACAGTAATTTCTTACATGGTATATTTGACCCGGTGTGTGATATAAATTATTTGTTTGTTAACTAGGCAGGGCACTTCACCTTCTGTCCTCTGACTTCCCATTACGTGAACTAAACCCACCTTAAATAAACAGAGGGGTTCAGTCTAGCTTTAATAGATAGATGAGTTAGTATTTATATAGTATAAACGTCTTGGTGTAATCTGTTTTGTGGTACTACATCAACGGAAGGATAACAGACAAAACATCTCTCACCTTTGGTGTTACAAATTTTATCTTGTGTAGAGTCAATGACCACAATGCTAAATGAATTTTGTGTTGCCGCTGTGCACTTAAAAGTTAATGATTGTACTGTTAAAGGAGAAATACTGTCTAGGTTTTATTTTGTGAAACGATCTGTGTTTAAATTTTGCATATTCACTGGACTTTATCAAACTAATCACTGATAAAATAAACATCTCACGAATATTGTTACATATCTCTTCCCATGACAAGTTATTGGTGTAAATCAGGTAATTTCGAGAGGAAGCTCAGTACCCGGATGGAGGTAGACATACGACTATGTCAGCAGGTAGACATAGAAATATTTCTACTTGTAATGTGCGGATCTGATTGGCTTTTATGGTCACATGCATAAAACGCCTTATGATTTAGCCATCTCGAACACAGGATACCTGGCAGCTAAAATACATTCTATTCACTTCAAGCGGGAATTGAGTCCCAAGCAACGACAACACACGCTAAAAACCCAAAGGTAGACGCTTGTTTGTAAACAATGACACGCTATGGCCATCTGATGCATGCGCAGGTGACGACACCCTCGCTTTAAGTTATTGTCATCTTGTAATTGTCCAACTGTCAACCTAAACCTAGTAGGAACATGTTGTCGTACAATTGAGGGCGTGATAGTTGGAGTTCAACCCCAAGGGTTTATTGGAGCCGAACTGAACGTGTCTACACATTAAGTATGCAATGAGAACTGTGCACTACAAAATGCAAATGTAGTCATAGTAGTGGTAAAATGTTTGTCTCCACTATATAGCTAAATAGTACACTCACACTACTAGATTGCTGATAGTGATATACCGAATAGAGGATGTGCATATGCAAAGCTTGTTCTTATTTTAATTTAAATATTGCTTTGATTACATTTCAGGAGAGAAACCTTACAAGTGTACCTGGGAAGGATGCACATGGCGCTTTGCAAGATCTGATGAACTAACCCGACACTATAGAAAACATACTGGTGTTAAACCATTCAAATGCACAAAATGTGAGAGGTGTTTCTCACGATCTGACCATCTTGCTCTACACATGAAACGACACTGAAAAAGAGATGAATTATGGTAACTTCCATGTTTATCAATTTCACGCTGTTATTTTCCCAACATTCCCACCATCTCCTTTGTTCAAACTTCCTAAAACTGGTACATGCCACCATGTAAATTTGGACTGTTCCATTCCATTTAATAGGGGTTGGATGGCTCTGATAGTGTATTTCGTTGTATTGTATTTACATGTAGCAGATTATTTTGGTATCTTAAATTTAAAAAGTTTTAGAATACACCCAATCAGGTGCCAAATTACTATAAAAAAATAGGTGTATTTTTAAAGTAAGTGATGAGTTTGCTTCTTAAAATTGAGGATTTAACATCATGAATTGCTCATGTGACCAAAAGAAAAGACTGCACCTCATTGAAGAATAGAAGTGAGTCTTCTCCCAACAAATCAGTTTATTAAACTAGATCACTGTTTACTCTCTTTATAGACTGGTTTCAAAAACAGTGCTTGTAGCCGATAAATGAATGATTCACGTTAGTGCAGAAATTGACCATGTAGCAAATGTTATACAAGGAAGATTTAAAAAAAAACAAAAAACACAGAATCCATCCTGAACTAGGAGATTTTGCTGTTTAATTGCACACTTCATGATACCTATACAAAGCATTGTATACATCTTGAAAAAATGCTGTTTTAAAGCCGGTCTATAGAGAGACTGGAAAAAGCAATCCAGTCGTCTTAATGATATTTTTCTGTCTTCCGAAATCAAAAGGATATTACTGTCATCCAAATATTGGTTGGATTTTCTGATCCTTTCACAAATTAGTTGTACCATGTGCTAATGAAAAAAATTTAACACTGTGAACAACTTTTGTAATCTTTCTCAGACTATACCCACATTATTATTATTTTTTCAAATAGTTTGATTCTTAAGACACAAGGCATTCGTTTATCCAAAATTACCAAGGCATATACATAGTATTCAAAGGGTATTGTGCTTTTGCATTGATCACTGGTCAGTATATCAGTCTCCGCTCTTTTAAATTTTTGTTTCTCTTGACACAATTTAGATTTGCTCTAAAACAAAAATTCTTGAGTGAATTTAACTGAAGGAAATGAGAAATCTATCGCTATAGATTATTATCTCTAAAATTGTCCTCTGTAACCTCATGTGTGAATTATCTAAGGTTGGAGTGGGTCACATGTCCAGCTTATATAGTGATGCTATCAGCACCTTTCAGTTTCACTTGTGTAGGTTGCTATGGTTACTCCCAATGATGCATAGAGGAACACACTTTAACTCCATGTATAAGCACAGCATTGTGTGTTCTGGTTCAAATATATGGAATGGATGGTTTGCCAAATGTCTTTATAGTTGAAATACCATCTGACTATCCCCTCCACACTATGTATTTGTCCGTCAAGTTAAAGCAATGTACACCGTGTGAAGGTTTACAATTTTGGACAATGAGACGGATCCTATTGCATTTATTGCACTGATTAGTTTCGTTAAAAAGCAGCTGTATTCTAATAAAATTAACGAGAATGCACAAGTCAGAAAACATTCCCTTTGTACATGTACATCGTAAGTTACATTCCCTGCCTGTCTAAATAGTGATGTATGCTAAAACAATATCTTCCTAACTGACATGACAATATTATATAGTATATTGAACAGCATGCATACTCGCATGACAAATGACATGATCGTGTCAAAACTGCAAATAATATGGTGTCAACTGATGCCGTTGGAAGACACAGGACTTCTTCTTCGACATGGTTTGATGAAAAGATCATTTTGCAGTTCAGCAAGTGAAAATAATCTTTATTTTTTAATATTTTTAGATATATTTGAAATAATATTGTAGAAAAATAAGCATGGTCTGAAAAATTCACTAGTCTTTTTTTGTATTCATTCAAGGAAACCCTTTATTTTTAAAAAATTTTAGTAATCAAGAAATCCTGTCTTTGAAATCTAACTTCTTGTCTGAAAAGGTCATGAAAGCTGTTATAGTATTTATAATCTGGTTTGTTCCTTCATAATTTATTTTATCTGAGTTAAATTGAATAATCTTTGCTCTGTTGCACCATCAATAATGTGACAATTGTTAATGCTCTTGTTGTACAAGATTTGTCTTCAACTCACCACTACAGAACTTTTGAAAAGTATGACCGGATTTTATATTCGCAAAGCGAGAGGGTCGTTACGGGAATTGAGTCCCAAGCGTGGATAACAACACACGCTAAAAACGCAAAGGCTCATGGGTAGACGCTTGTTTATAAACAATAACTGGCCATCTGGCGCATGTGCAGGTGACTACTCCCCCGCTTTAAGATTCATTTTTGACTGTGCAGTACATGTTTTTTATGCAGCCCAACATAGAAGTATGACTAGTGAATTCGTCAGTCCCTGCAATTCGGCTGTGCAATATCATGTTAAAAAAAAAAATATTCAAAAAAATTTCTTAGCTAAACAACAACTTTCAAAACGACCATATTTTTTTGGTTGTATGTCTTCTAGTATTTGTGACTCTGTTCATTACATTGTCTTACTTTTAACAAACTAAAGCAATACAAGTATTTTAAAAACTATATTCAGTGTTACAGTGGTAATAAAATAGTGTTGTATTTGTAGTACGCTGTTCAATTAATATGCGTGTACATGTGTGGGGGTTTTCTTTTCCCCGGTGATAAAAAGTTAGTGATGTTCTATTGCTGAATGTACAAAAGGGGATTATTTAGGCTGTTTGATGTCAGAACATCTCAATTTGTAAGTCAAAAGTTGAATTGTTTGATAATATTAATTTAATCAAAAATATTATACACTATATTGTGTACAATTGTACTTAAATTTTAATTTACTACTTTAAGTAGTTGAAATACAATTTGTGATTTTTGAAAGAAATGTACTTGATCATGGGTGATGGCAGGCAAATGAATATACGTGTTACAAAAGTAGTTAATTATTGCCTGGGGAAGCATGTGACGGATGTTATGATTGGTGGATTACCTGCAATATGCAAATCTCATGACTCGTATTTGGGTATTATTCAAGTGTGGGTGCTTCTACCCCAGCTTAGACTCAACACATTTGACAACTTAATGAAATCCCTGTCATATCTCATTGTAGTTATTTCAAAATCAACAATATTTGTGAGAATGACGACAGAGAAAGGCTCAATTGTCTTAATGTATATCTTAAAAAGATTACCGGTCTCAGTATTTAGTGAAATTACATTTTTCAGCAAATTTCTTTTCACCTGTTTGAAACTATACTTCCAAATATTCTAATCTATGTTAAAATATAATCAAATAAATTAGCCATTCTGAGTGTTATTTTTAAAGTTGTGTTGTAATAATGTAAAGTTTTTAATAAAAAAAATAATGTTTGTCTTGTTCATTCCCTCTTTGTGCTAATGTTATAAAGTGTTCCAGCTTCATTATTAATTTACAAATGCATTCTAAAGTAGCCAGTGATCTCATTCCTTCAATCATTGTTCAAATGGAATGCTTATAAAAACAAATTATTCCACGACCTCAATGTGCCACAACTGAAGTATTTTTTGAAACCTGAATTATAAATTTTAATGTTTGGTTGTAAATCAAACCAATGGATGGTCTATTTCAAAAGTATTATGATTTTCCGACATAGCCGTAAAGTCGTGTCATTTAAAACCTCAGCAAGAAAGATCTGTATTACCGTGTTTGCTATTTAAAAGTGCATGTATTGTATGCTGGATCATTGAAAATACAACTTATTTTGACCTTTGGTGCATGTACTACTAATAGAGCAATTACTGTAATACTGCAGAATACTTTATTTTCGCTTGGAATTTATTTTTGCTGAAGGGATATTCCGTGAAAATAAAATATAGCTAATATACTTTTCTTCCTATATTTCACATTAAACTCATCAAAAATCAGTAAAAATAAATTCCATACAAAACGCCCAAATAGCCTTTTCAGCGAAAATTAATTCTAGCAAAAATAAAGTATTCTACAGTACTTAGCCGAGATATGGTCAATGGTTGCTTTGGAAGATAGACAGAAATGGATTCATATTCATCAATGTATTTTACAGCTGAACTTCATAATCAGGGGGCTGCTGCCACAATTTTGTTTCTTCCTCTTAAAACTGCCATTCTTAATGCTTTTCTTCTATTCATGGAATTATTGTCTTCGATTCCTTGTGTGTAATTAACAAGGTGTGTATTTTTAATTGACTAAAATCATATTGTGCCATGTTTTTTTTTTATCCAGAGCATTAATAAAATTATGTATTTCTTTTGAAATACAGTTTTAAAAAAAATTGATTCGGATGAGAAAAAACTCTTCAGTATTTAGACCAATCAATGTCACAAGTGAATAGCGCCCTCATACAGTTTTGGGGGAAATTATGCTGCTGTTTACTCATTTCAAACATTATGTAAACATTCCAGGATTGTATTATATGTGCAAATTGTGTAATCTCTCAAGATCTGCTTGAAAAGTTTTCTCTCATCTGTTTACTGTATTTTTTTTCATATTGTAATTTGTAATATCAGGCCATTGCAAAACACTATGCCTTCCCACCACTGCTTGAAGTGGACATGAGAAGATAAGGCAACAAATAAACATACATTGGAGTGACCGATAATGTTCTCCCTGCGCCATGCGATTCTGAATGAGGAAAGTTTCACTTTTGTAATGAAACATAATTTTGCTCCAATGTGAATTTTTGTTGTTGACATCATGTGATGTAGCACTATCATCATACAACATGTACATATAAATAAACCGATGCATTTTTATTCAATAAAAGCTTTGAGTTATTTTTAACCAAAAATGAAAGGTGCTCACCAGGTGTGGGTGGTTATGCAATGCATCATGGGGGAAATTGACTTTTACATGAATACATGCTGTGTACCCAGTGGATAAACGCGTTTCCAAATTGTGGATGTCAATGACTGAGTGGAGTGATTAAAGTAGAACTAGTACACGTTAGTTATTCCACTGTACGCATGACTTGACGACACTGCATTCAGTATACCATTTACGTTGCATTGGAAACTCTTCACCACTTATTGGAATTCCTGGTATGCAAACAAAATGAAAACACAACAACGCAAAGACTGCCATTCGAATACAAGTACGACCACGTACAGATAAAACATATGACAGGAATGTTTCAATTTCACCTACATTGTCGCTCCCGGGGGGGGACATTTTCTATTATGACAACATAGTCTGTTATTCAAATAAAAGTCCGACCACATACAGATAAACACATATGACAAGAATGTTTCAATTTCACTTGCATTGTCGCTCTCGGAGGACATTCTTTCTTATGATGTAATGATAAAACAATATTGTGATTGGCTTTTGGTGTGCTTCCATCATTTACGCACAGTTTAACATGAATAGTGACATCCTTTTGTCAAGTCCACGTACAATTCATTAATACAGGCAATGCACACATTGTTCTGCTTCGTGTTGTTAATGTTTGCAGTACCATTTGCAACAAAGTTGCTAAAGAGTGAGTATGCATAATTACAAAGATGTAATCATTGAATCAAACATAATTAGATTCTGTCTCAGATTCTTTAAGTAGTTGACCCGAAGCAGGAAAATGTACAACTACTGAAACTAAGAGACTAGACCATGTAAGTATGTCCCCGGGCATGATTCCAGGCATGCATACAGTGGAATAGTGCTGTATTTAGAAGAAGTCTTTAAACCTATCTCCCCCTTCAAGCCCTATACTTCAACAACCTGACATAGTGTTGGTACAACATTTTATACATTTTTCCATAATCTCTATTAAATCGAACCAAATGGACATAACTTTCCATTACCCACAGGTAATTGTTGAAAAAAAAATCGAGGTAAACCCAATACACTACAAGCTATTTTTGTCTCAGTATGTACAAGACCTACTAGATCACAATTAGACCAGAACCCCCCCCCCCCCTCCCTCGTTAGTTT